GTTAGTCAATATTTGTCATGTTTGAAAAATCATTACCATCCATGTCAGTTAACTTTGCAGTACCTCATGATATGATGGTTTTGACAATGTATGGTCCGGACCAATTAGGCCTGAATTTGCCTCTTGGGTCTAGGACATTCTTCCTTAGTGCTTTTAACACCAAGTCTCCTACCTTGGTATTTCTTGTCTTGACCTTCTTATATATTAAAGTGTCTAGCCATATGAATTTGGTAGCATTGAGTATGATGTAGAGCTTCTAGTCATTAGTCATCAAGTAGAATTAGCTCTTCATATCTTGCTCTAGTTCATTTGACTTCATCGAGTTTACTTTCCAATGCAATGCGTAAGGAAGGTATTTCTAGCTCTACAGATTGTACGACATCCATTCCATAGACTAAGGAGAATGGTGTATCTCCTGTTGATGAGCGAATTGACGTGTGATAACCCCAAAAGCAAAGTGGAGTTTGTCAGGCCAATCTTTATAATTTTCAATAATTTTCTTGATGATAGTCTTTAAGTTTTTATTGGCCGCTTCTATCGCACCGTTTGCTTGATTCAATGGAGGTTTGACTATGGTGCATTCAAAAGACTTTGAGGCTATAAAAAATGTTTCCTGGTTATTTCAAAAGTTAAGTGGGAGACTTATTGTAACAAGATAGGATTGAGTCTACCTATTAAATTAGGAAATGTGTCATGGCCGCTTGAAGAGGGAGAATTCAGAAAATATGTGGCTGCGTTCAAATGTATTGCTCAGTGATCATTTGGTTTTGTAATTCTAAAGATTTCAAGAAACGATTTGTAGATTAATATAAGATCTCGACATGTGATGCAATCATATTATCAAGTCGATGCATATTGACTTAAGGAATTTGAATATTGCACACTTGTCTCAAATAAATGGGAGATTGAAGGAATTATGTCTTCGTTGTGTGCAATTACTAGATATATAAATGGATCAAATTATGGAGATAATTAAGTTCGTACTTTTGGGTTGTCATTATATCATAGCTAGAGGTATTAACGATCTTTGGGCTAATAAAATAGGCCAAAGCCCAATTGGACGGATCCTATAAGGTCACACAAAGGGCCTATATTGAGCATTAGAGGATGAAGCCCATCACAAGCCTCATCACTCTAGGTGGCCGGACATATGGAGGAATAAGGGGAGTTTTGGGTTTCATGACTTAGTCTATTTCTAATGAAATTATAAATAGACTAAGTTCCTAGGGTTTTCATGAATTGAATTCAGTGATCAGTTTGATCAAACCCTAATTAGCAAACACGAAACCTAACCCTCTCAAACTCCTCTCTTTCTCTTCTCTCTCTCTCTCTCTCTCTCTCTCTCTCTCTCTCTCTCTCTCTCTCTCTCTCTCTCTCTCTCACGGCTCTCCCCTCCTCCTCGGCGCTTGTGGTGGTTCGTGGTGGTGGTGATTTGTGTGGTGGTCGTTTGTCAGTTAAAGGTGGTGATCGTGGTTTTTCCCTTTCACTCGACCAATCTAGTATTGGTGGACGACTCATTCGAATCTCCTGAACTAAGTAGAGGAGCAACTCTTGGGGCTCTATTCTCTCCCTGATTTGCCTGTCAAATAGCTTTGTAGAATTCACGCTTCAAAGGTATGATTATGTGTCTTGTGTGTTATGCATGCGATCTTGAGATTAGGTGTTTTATGAATATGATTCATGATTTTCCGCATTATAGTAATTATAAACTCCTACAGTTGTGTCCACTGAAAAGGCAGATAGAAGCTGGAGAAATCAGCTACAGGCGGAATTAGAGTTTCTCTCTCTAAAAAAATGCTCTCTTTCTCTCTCTAGACTTGAAGAATGGTCAAAGATGGGGGGAAAGAGGGGGGTATAACCCTATTTATAGAAGGGTGAAAACAGGGAAATCCCCGTCACTCTAACAGAAGGCGGACAGTCTTTTTATTGTTCACCATTCATAAGGGGGCGCGTGTCACAAGCACCCCGTGGCCTGCCACTTCACCCATATGAGGGGAAAATATTTCGAAAAAAAACTCCCTAGACACATGGCCCAATCAGAGAGAGACACACGTCAGTCCTAGGCAGGTCTAATATGGGCCACTCAACAGTTGACACGTGTTAGCCTCAGATAACAAATGAAATTACGGCCTTGAAGCCCTAATTCCCAAGAGCGACACAAAACGACGTGGCCCATTAGGTCATCCTGACCTAATGAAGGGCACATTTTCCAATGATCCTATAAATAGGGAGATCTCCCCATTTGGGGGGACACAATTCATTTATTACAACAAACCTACATTCTCTCACATCAGAGAAAACACTTAATTTGGAAATCCGAGAATATCTCACTTTTACCTTTTCCTCACCTTTTCATATTCATTCTTCGACTGATACTAACTTGATCGTCGGAGGCGGAGCTCCTACCAACCGGAGTCTCCGTATTTTGTAGGTACAGATCGCGCCAGACCAGTCTTGGTGACATAACTCTCCCAAGGGACAAAAACACCCTAAACAAATATGTCATCGACGCTAATTTTTAAATCAATATTGTCAATTGGTCTCTCGGAATATAAATTAACCAAGCCAACTTTATATCTGAAAATCCGATGATTGATGCTTTGAACACTGCTAGTAACATAAAAGCTTATATTGAGAACAGGTTTATTAAAGACTTAGTTTAGAATGGTTTCTTAAGCTTTCACAAACCAGCTTGTTAAACTCAATTAGGGAATTTACCTGATGGTTCTAATTAGAGCTGTTAAAAGCTAACCCGACCCGAAATACCGACCCAAACCCAATTATTAACTAACCCATCTGAACCCGAAAAAATAGTGACCTAAACCCGACCTGACCCAACCTGAAACCAATCCTAAATCCTAGTTGACCCGAGTATGAAAGATCCAAACCCGAACATGAACCGACTTGGAGATGACCCGACCCGAATGTAACCCATTAATTATTGACCTGAACCGAACCTGACTTGAACTGAAATTGACCTAAACCTGTTTTAACCTATCAAAACCCGAATTCAACCCGACTTGTTACTAACCCGACTTGAATTCAACCTGACCTGTTCCTTACCCGACCTTTTACTAACCTAACTCGAAATTCAACCCGACCTGTTACAAACCCGACCCGAAATCAACCCGAATTGTTATTGACCTGACCTGAATTTTGCCCGACCTATTACCAACCCGACCTAATAATTCAACCTGGTCTGTTACTAACCCTATGCGATATCAACACGACTTGTTATTGAACTGACCTAAACTTAACCCAAATTGTTCTTGACCCGATTTCAAATCACCTTAAATTCAATTTAGACCACCTTATTATTGTTGATCAATGCATTTTGTCTAGGGAGACCAAGTCGGTCCAAGCCAGCAAAAGAAAGGAGCATCATCCCCAAATTTAAGAGTTAAATATAGTACTCCATATATTTTTTGTATGGTCAAAGGAGATAATTATCTTCCTAAATTATAAGCTATGGTTCCCTAGTATGTTTCCATATATATTATAGTTAAACGAAATAATTAGCTTGATAAAAATGATAATTATCTGTTTATAGTTAGTTGAACCCGAATATGACCCGACTTAGAAATGACCCGACCTAATTGTAACCCGCAAATTATTGACTTGAACATAACCCGACTTGAACCCAAGAATGATCCGACTTGAAAATGACTCAACCTGATTATAACCCGCAAATTATTGACTTGAACTGAACCCGACTTGAACCCGAGAAACCCACCTTGGAAATGACCCGACCTGATTATAACCCGCAAATGATCGACTTAAACCGAACCCAACTCAAACTCAAGAATGACCCAACCTGATTCTAACCCACAAATTATTGATTTGAACCGAACCCGAGAATTACCCTAACCCGTTTAAACCTGTAAAAACCCGAATTAAACCCGACCCAAACTTGATAAGATGTATGACCCGACATGACTCAACTCAAGCATGACTCAACCCGAACCCGACCCACATAGGTTACGACATTAACTCAAATTGACCCGACCCGAGTTGACCGACCCAATCTTACACGACCCATCGCGACCTGTTTACCCGAATTGACAACTCTAGCTCTAATGATCATTGTAATTTACACATGAGTGCATGAATAATAACACCAGGTGTAGAACAATGCAAATAATGCGATTTTAAAAAAACCTCCCAGAACCAGATTATATATATATGTACTAGTTTTGTGCCCCGTGCGATGCCCGGATTGTATTTAAATCTTTCCAACGTGGCGCGACACTTGGCATTGACTCTTGGCGAAAAGTTTGAATGCCAAGTGTCGCTGCCTCGTGACCTAGCTAAAAGTTTAGCGCTAGTTTTGTGCCCGTGCGAAGCCCGGATTGTTTATTGAATTTTAAGATATATTTTTAATCTATATGTCAAATTTAAAACGTATTATTGATACAAAATTAGTTAGCAATTGGTGTGTTTTTTTTACGATTTAAACTTGTAGACATGTAATGACTAATAATGATAATATTGGTGAAAAATATTTCTTGACCCGTAACCTAAAATAATGACCCTGCCTAAAATGACTGGTAACCCGACCTGATTTACAGGTCTACACACAATAATAAAATTTTATTAGACTGTGAAGTATATTATTTTAATTGATTATAATAATTATAAACAATGGATGTGGTACATTTTGAAATAATTCCTTCGCTCCAGAAAAATATTATGATACAAAAAATAAATTTATATGATAATTTATGAGAGTTATAATCTAATTATTTTTTCAATAAAGATATAATTCAGTGTGTACTTTCAATATGATATAATTCAATGTGTACTTTATTAAAAAATAAAATTCTATGATAAAAATATTGATACTTTATAAAAAAATAAAACTCTAAATTAACAATTTTATCCTAAAATTCTATCCAAATTTGATTAAAATAAAATTCTAAACTTTTTTATACGCCAACTGTCGCTGCCTTGTCGCCTGGCTAAAAGTTTAGCTTTATATATTAGTTATATGATATATATCAGCACATAAACACATCTGAATAACTTGATAGATAAATATATCGGCACATAAAAGACTAGAATCACGGCTGCACGGCTGCAGCTCAAAACAAACCAGATAACACTATTCAACAGGGATACAGAATGAGAAACCTAATAAAACAATAAGGTGTTATGAAGAGGAGGTGGGTTATAAGGAGGAAAAAATACATTAAAATCCTGAAAATAAGTTAAAGTTGGGCAGTGCCTTCTGTGAACTTTGGATCTTCACATCTGTATTTACCATCAGGTCCAATTCCAAATCCCTTTGGATCTGCAAACACGTTCTCAAGAAGTTGGCTTCGAAGGGGAGCAGGGCTTTGATCAGCAAAGTCAACAGCTTCCTCAACTAGTTCATCTATCTTCTTCTTGATTGCCTTCAGTTCAGCTTCACTGGCCAACTTGTTCTCAATCAAGTACTTTTTCAAAGAGTCTATTGGATCTCTAACACTGTAGCGAGCCTTTTCATCTGCCAACAAAAGTGAATTATTTGTCAATTGCAAAATTATATGAAAAAACAAAAGTCAAGATGCCATCTTCATCACTATGACTTCGAATAACTCAAGTTAATTATTTATACACCTAAGAAAACTGAAAAGAAATGTATGGTATCAGATAGAATGATGTCCTCCTGTATGTAGTAGACCTATTAGATACGCAGAATAAGAGAAGGTATATGCAATGGTAAAAGTGAGCCATGCATGCAACTCGCCTGTAATTCATCCAAAAAGATGTCTCATGATGTCCACCTGGTTTTCTTTTCTAATCAAAATATAATAAACTAAAATAAAATATAACATAATTAAAATAAAACTACATGTGCCAAAGGAGTTATAAAGCTTAACAAAGGTTTCATCAATAACTGACACTGACGGACTACTTCAAGGGGCCTTCCACAGAGTGCGGCATCTCAATGCCAGTCAACTTCTGAGTTTTTAAGTAGAAAAAGGTTACAAAGGTATGCATAATTCATATGCTCAAATTTCAAATAAAATCCATGATAAAAGTTCTTTATTGGCCACGGATTTTGGTAGTAGCTGGTGTTAAAGTTCATTTGACAGCAGGAAATATCTCTTACACTTCTATCAAACCAATAAAGGATTTTTGATGGTGTAGAAAAAATAGACTATGATTGATTCCATAAAAAGATGTCTAATCCGCAATATGTTTGTTTTGATAGGTCTGTGAGAGAATAAAAAGGTAACAAGGTCAACACAGGATAGAAAATTACTATGACAAACAAAACAAAATTACTCCACAGCTTAAAACTCATTGCTTTTTACAGCAAAACAAAGATCAAACAACAAGATGGGAGACACTTCTGGTACCAAAGGGGATTACTTAGAAACTTGTGACAGTTGCACAAATTAATTACTTCTAGATAGATATGTTATGAAGAAAATTTATTGGCAATTCCAACAAATTGAAACAGATAAGCTAGTGCTACAAAAAAAAAGGGAATCGTCACTTTTGTTAATACTGAGTTCTTGAAAGGGAGTTACAAAAGTGCAAACCCTATATATGCTAGTAACCAAAAATGGTACTAACAAGACTAGGCATTGATAATCTTTGAAAGCAATCATAATTTTCACATTATTACAATTCAAAAATAGACATTCTTGAATACTGGAAAACATATTAAGACAAATATTATACAAAACAATTAATGTAATCCTGCAAATTAAAAAAAAGAATGAAGTAAAATTAATTAAAACTTACCAGGGTCACGAAGCTCATCAGGGTCTGCCAAAGAGTGTCCTCTAAACCTGTAAGTTTCACATTCCACCAGGGTAGGACCTCCTCCACTCCTAGCCCGGTTAACAGCATCTTTTGCCACCTCCCTCACCTTCAAAACATCCATTCCATCTACATGGACCCCTGGCATCCCAAAAGCAGGACCCTTCTTCCAAATCTCGGGATCAGAAGTTGCCCTTACATGGGACATTCCAATTGCCCACAAATTATTCTCCACTACAAAAATAATGGGGAGTTTCCACAATGCAGCCATGTTCAAACACTCAAAGAACTGCCCATTGTTACAAGTCCCATCTCCAAAGAACGCCACTGTCACATCATCACAGTTCTCCTTCAGCACCTCTCTCTTATACTTGCTCGTAAATGCAGCTCCCGTGGCAACAGGAATTCCTTCCCCAATGAAGGCAAAACCACCGAGAACATTATGCTCCTTGGAGAACATGTGCATAGACCCTCCTTGCCCGCGGCAGCAACCAGTGGCTTTACCAAAAAGCTCACTCATCACAGCACGAGCAGGGACACCCTTGCTAAGGGCATGAACGTGATCACGGTAAGTACTAACAACAGAATCTTTCTGGGTTAATAACTTGATAAACCCAGTTGAAATAGCCTCTTGCCCATTATATAAATGGACAAATCCAAACATTTTTCCCCTGTAATACATCTGGGCACACATATCCTCAAACTCTCTACCCAAAGTCATGTCCTCATAAAGCACCAAACCTTCCTCTTTAGTAATCAACTAGAAACAATAATCAACAATCAAAATTCTTCCTTAATAAATTCTAACAGTTACATGATTATAGATCAGCTTTAATTTGCTTCTACTGAGTGTTTCAAATCAACAATTCTGATCACAATTAACAAATTATAAAATACATATACAATCACATGACATAAATGCCGTACATATCATCAAATCATGACATTAATCAAGACAAACATTCAAATTACCTAACAGCCTTGCACTTGTAACTAAAAACTAGTAATACTCATACAAATCACATTATTTTGTTTTTGAGAAAAACCCGAAAACTGAAAACAAAAAAGATAACAAACAAGCCGTAAATTAAGAGAATTTAGTGATAAAAAAATTACCAGATTTGAAGGAGAAGCAGCAGTTTTGGACTTCTTTTCCTTATAAACCTCAGACACAGCAACAACAGTAGTGGAAACAGAAGAGGATGAAAAGGGTATTTTCGAAGAAACGCTAAGTTTGTTAACAGATCCAAGAAAAGAGGGTTGTAAAGATTTAACAGGATCAAAGAGGGGTTTGTCATTGGATCTATTATAACTATAATTATGATTGATGGAGTAAAAGATTTTGGGAACAGCCAAAGCAGAAGACATGATGATTGATTGGATGAATGTTAACAGAAAATTGAAAAATGCAGGAAAAATTGGGTTGGAAGAACAAACAAATACAAGAGGGAAAATGGGGAAGACGAAGAAAAGAGTGGAGAATTAAAAAGGGAAATGGCGGAGTAAACAATGAAAGGGGAGTTGTGTCGTGGGAAATGTCGTTCACCCGCAAAAAATAGGAACAAGCAGGTTGTGTATTCGTAAGTTTTTCCCTTTTCTTTTCTTTTTGTTAATTAACTTCACCTATGAGGTATATTCTTCTTTTTTAATTTTTGGGTTTTTTTTTTTTATTCATTACTAGATGCAGCCAGGGACACATAATTTGTTTGAAGTTTTTAAAAACAAATATTTTTGTATGTATGTGATAAAATTCGTCAATTATTCGTTTTTAATAATTTTTACTATTAAATAAATTGTAATTATTTTTTCATTCGTTACAATGCCTGCGTTTCATATCATTTGTAATTATTAGACACTTTTCGTATACTTTATGTCAACTCGTTGCAAATAATATGAAATAGAGGTAGTATATTTATATAAAATACCTAATATTAAAAGAAAAGATGTTATATCTAATTAATTTAAAAGAAAAAATTTTTTCAAAAAAAAAATAAAAAAGAAAAATTTGTAAATTGAAACCATTTAAAGTTAGTGTTTTGCGAATTGCATTCATTTTCAAAAAAAAAAAATCAAATTGCAGCGCAAAAGTTCTTATAAATTGTAAATTGCATCCCGATTTAACTTTTTCATCGGTTTGCGTGTCGAAAAATATTCGGTTAATATTATAGGGCTCATTTAAGTTCTTAAGGATCCGAATTGAGCTCGGAATTAGCAAAAAAAAAAAACGTAAGTGCCTCGTTTTTAAAACAACAAAAATAGTTGCCCACAAATCGATACATTTTTGTTATGCAAAATGAAGCATTTACCTTATTATTTCGATGATTCCGAGCTCAATTCAGATCCTTAAAAGATAAAAATGACCCCTAAAACCTTAATTGAATATATTTCGACAAGTAAATCGTTGAAAAAGTTGAAACCGGTTGCAATTTACAATTTATAAGAACTTATTTGGACTGCAATTCGCAATTTTTTTTATAAATGGCTGCAATTTGCAAAATATTAACTTCAAATGATTGCAATTGGCAAATTTTCCTAATTTAAACTTTCAAATCGATTTCACTAATATTGCTTATGTGGCATTTGAATTATCTAATTCTAAAAGAAAATACAAATCTCTTATTTATTTGGCTATAACTAAAATTTAAAATCTTACATGTTGCGTTAAAGAAATTTTAATTCAATAATGTAACTCTCAAAAACTCGAGAAAATATTCTCCTTTACATATATACTAGTATTGTGCCCAGATGAAACCCATATGTTAATAAAAGTTTAGGATAAACTTTTTGGATCAAATGTTAAAGACGATCATATAATTCCTTATGATAATTAAAGTTTTTTTTTTAAAATAAAACATAATGAAAGATTTTAAATTACTGAAGTGAAAGGTTTTTTTACCAAACCTGAAATCATTTGTCCTAATTAATTAAATCTTATTTTCATTGATCCTATATTATTTTTTAATTAAGAAAATTAAGTATATTATAATTGGATCTTATTTTAAAGTACTTTTTAAAATGATTTTTAAGACGAAAATAGTAAAGAATTATAAGATATTTATCAAAATTTAGGATTAATTTTGTATATATATGAAATATTATAAGTATATCGATAATAAAAGTTTATACAAAATTTTTATCTTTAAAAATATATTAAATTTCTCTTAATTAGCATCATATGTGTCACATATATATATTTGTCGCATATATGGCTTGGCGAAAAACTGGAATGCCAAAGTGACGTTGTCTCGTGGCTTGGCTGTGAGATTGACTTTATTTATGAGTGGTGATATGATATTAGACTATCACAACGTTTTTACATAATGGTATTGTATAATTGTAATAATAAATAGCATTACACTTTAAATTATAAAAAAATGAATAATTTAATTTTACATATTATATTTAATCATATATACAACATGTTATTTAATAACATTTGTTTTCTTTACAATAATAAGTAAAGTAAATATATAGGCAAAAATAATGTATGATGGTAGTCATAGTACGTACAAAAGCAAAAATTTTGTAGTAAACAAAAAAAAGTAGGTATAAAATAAGTCTTGTCCCCCTTTAATCCTAACTTCGCTCGTGGAAACAAGCTTTGATTTGACTCAAGAAAAATTCATCACCATAAAAAGTTTAGGAACTATAATTAAATACACTCCAAAGATTACTCGTACAAGTGCTTCTCTTGGGCCTTTTGGGCTTTTCTTATTTAAGTTTGGTTATCAGTTAGTAATTTATTTTCGTCTAATCGCACTTTTGTAAATACTAAACCTTATTTTTTTTTTGAAATAATACTAAACCTTATTTAAAACTTTTAATTCAATACTTTCTTATTTAACACTTGTTTATTGCCGTTTATTATTATTATTATAAATTATTTTTGATAACATTCAATTTCCTATATTTCTCATTGATAAATTGGAATACAAGTTCAGGGATTCCTTCTAGGTTTTCTCCTTGGGAGGGTTTTTTTATGTTCCTTCTAGGGTTTTTTCTTTGGGAAGGTTTTCCTAGCCTTCATTGCTAGGTTTATTCAATTTCTTTGAAGGTTTTCCTTCTCTCTTCTCCCTTTTCTCAACTAAAATTTAAAATCTTACATGTTGCGTTAAAGAAATTTTAATTCAATAATGTAACTCTCAAAAACTCGAGAAAATATTCTCCTTTACATATATACTAGTATTGTGCCCAGATGAAACCCATATGTTAATAAAAGTTTAGGATAAACTTTTTGGATCAAATGTTAAAGACGATCATATAATTCCTTATGATAATTAAAGTTTTTTTTTTAAAATAAAACATAATGAAAGATTTTAAATTACTGAAGTGAAAGGTTTTTTTACCAAACCTGAAATCATTTGTCCTAATTAATTAAATCTTATTTTCATTGATCCTATATTATTTTTTAATTAAGAAAATTAAGTATATTATAATTGGATCTTATTTTAAAGTACTTTTTAAAATGATTTTTAAGACGGAAATAGTAAAGAATTATAAGATATTTATCAAAATTTAGGATTAATTTTGTATATATATGAAATATTATAAGTATATCGATAATAAAAGTTTATACAAAATTTTTATCTTTAAAAATATATTAAATTTCTCTTAATTAGCATCATATGTGTCACATATATATATTTGTCGCATATATGGCTTGGCGAAAAACTGGAATGCCAAAGTGACGTTGTCTCGTGGCTTGGCTGTGAGATTGACTTTATTTATGAGTGGTGATATGATATTAGACTATCACAACGTTTTTACATAATGGTATTGTATAATTGTAATAATAAATAGCATTACACTTTAAATTATAAAAAAATGAATAATTTAATTTTACATATTATATTTAATCATATATACAACATGTTATTTAATAACATTTGTTTTCTTTACAATAATAAGTAAAGTAAATATATAGGCAAAAATAATGTATGATGGTAGTCATAGTACGTACAAAAGCAAAAATTTTGTAGTAAACAAAAAAAAGTAGGTATAAAATAAGTCTTGTCCCCCTTTAATCCTAACTTCGCTCGTGGAAACAAGCTTTGATTTGACTCAAGAAAAATTCATCACCATAAAAAGTTTAGGAACTATAATTAAATACACTCCAAAGATTACTCGTACAAGTGCTTCTCTTGGGCCTTTTGGGCTTTTCTTATTTAAGTTTGGTTATCAGTTAGTAATTTATTTTCGTCTAATCGCACTTTTGTAAATACTAAACCTTATTTTTTTTTTGAAATAATACTAAACCTTATTTAAAACTTTTAATTCAATACTTTCTTATTTAACACTTGTTTATTGCCGTTTATTATTATTATTATAAATTATTTTTGATAACATTCAATTTCCTATATTTCTCATTGATAAATTGGAATACAAGTTCAGGGATTCCTTCTAGGTTTTCTCCTTGGGAGGGTTTTTTTATGTTCCTTCTAGGGTTTTTTCTTTGGGAAGGTTTTCCTAGCCTTCATTGCTAGGTTTATTCAATTTCTTTGAAGGTTTTCCTTCTCTCTTCTCCCTTTTCTCTCCATCTCTACCATCTCTTTCCTCTTTGGTCTCAGTTGTGAATCTTTGTAGGGGCTTCCACTGGTATTTTTATCGGTGGTAAGCCCCAAAAACCTTTCAATTGCTTTCAATAAATAGATCTCATCCTTGTGAAGATGATTATTGTCTTGAGTTTATTTTCTTTTTGCGTTTGTTTTGTGAAAATTGAAGATCTAGGGTTTCATAATCTTTACAAAAATCTAGAGGACCGCATGAGTATTTTCACTCAGACGACTACGTATCAGTGGATTTCAAGCCGAATCAGTGCGAACTCACAGATTGTATTGCTTCAGATGAAGTTTTTTTTTTTATAAGGCGATTGTTAATCAAATCTACTATGTATTTAGTTTTAAGGTGTGTACTTATGTTGGAATTCTTGATTTTTTAGGAATTATATGTAAGTGTCGTTTAGCTAAATTTTATTAATGAAATCCCTTTTCTTCTTGTCAAAAAAATAAAATAAAAATTGGAATACAAGTTATTATCTTAGTAATCTTTTATAATTGATTATCAAAGATAATAATTATTTTAATTAAAATCATTAATAATCTTGTTTGAATTTCCAATAATAAAATTATTTTATAAATAATTTTTTCTTACCAAAAGGAGCATTCCTCCCCCACCTAGCCAGCCACACCCAACTAGCAGCCCTCTCCTCTTCTCAACTCGCGTCCCTTCTCACCAGCGCCTAGCCACCCCTATAGGTGAACCTGACGAGGGGTGGAACTAGGTCATTGAAACTAATCCTCCCTCGATCAAACTAAATTTATAAACACTTAACAAACCTATATACAAGTTTAGAGGCAAGTCAAGGGTCGAACCCAAAGAAACGGTAATGTTCAAGTGCTCTCAATTATGCGCCTAAGCTAGGTCAAAGTCTAAGGATAAAAGGTAAACACTATAACCAACTAACAAAATGAAGAACCAAACAAATAAACACTAGGAACGAGGATCAACAAGTAATCATGACAATTGTAGAAACTCGGGAACAATATGCAAATCAATGGTTGTGAAGACTAATGACAAGCTCAATCAAAAGAGTCAACAAGCTATCTTCTAGAGGTCAAACTAGCGCCAACTACGAGAGACTCTAACTAGGAGCATCACTAATCAAGCTCAATCGACAATTGCAATTCCTAAATCAATGGTTCGTATCATTAGAAACTACAATGCAATCTAGCATAAT